CATTTTAACAATTTTTTTAGAACGTTCTTAATATAAAATGTCGTATTAGATATTTTATAAAACACTATCTGAAAAAATGTCATTTAAACACAATGTCTTATAACAAGATGGGTTTATATGACATTTCTCAAAGTTTTCTATAAATAATTGATACGACATTTTATTTTAAAAAAGTCATATAGCCTTTCTATAAACCTATTGTAACACTAGTTTTAGATAATACACCAAATGAAACATTAATACATAGAACGACTTGTGTGTATGTTAATAATTGAAGCTCTTGGAATCGGTTTTGTACGCTTACACAAACAACAATGTTTAAGGGGCCGTTTACCAAACACTTACCCGATACGCACTTGTCTGAAAAATTCAACACTATCATTTACTTATCATGTAAGATTTTAGTCAACAAAAATGGCTTCATATGTAACAATTTACTAGGTAAATGCTGACCGTGGTAAGAGTCTTTGCCCTCACTTACCGGGTAGGACTATCAATCTTTGTCTCGTTCTTATCGGGTAAGATTTTTGGTCAATGTCATATCCATCCGATAAGGTAAATAAACTTGGTAAGCGTTTACCCGAGTAAGCATTTGGTAAACGATCCCTAAAATGTTAATGAAGTTTCGTCGACTGATTGTTACATAAGCTTTATTAGTTGAATAGTTATACGATCTCTTAATTATTTAAGGTTTTTTCAAATACATTATTTCTGATTCATTTCTTTTAATGAATAACTGATTGTATACCATAAAATGCAGCGACATAAAATTCTATTGTAAACCGCCCATTAAAAATTAATAAACTTCTCATTAAAAAATAACATAAGAATTTATGTGGGAAAATAAAAATTGAAAATTACAAAAGGTCAATTTGAATATCTGATTAAAACCCTGAAAAAATATATTGATACGAATGTCAACTTAAGATTTTAAAAATTCTCATATTTTAATATAATTTATTTAGTTCGAATTTAGATATTTTAGATTTAAAATTTTGATATTTGTTTATTTTAGTTTTAATGATGTTTGACAGTTGTTGGATGGTTTAGTGTAGAATGATTAAGAGGCTCTTATGATATAGTATAAAATGAAATATAATTGTTTGATAATTGTTACAATGAAATTAGGGAGCTGAATAGTTAAGGGAAACCCATGATACAAAATCATAAGGTTTTAGAATCACTAAAAGACAGATTTTTTTTTCCAAACAAGATTTACCTCCTCACGATTCAAAGGATGCCTCTTAATGTAACTATTAAGAGGTAAAAAAACAACCATGTAGTTTTTTTATAAATATAAATGATAAAATATCTCGTTATATCTTAATTATAACTTTGTATTGTATCATGTTTATCTATTGATTTTACAATATTAAAAAAAAGTAAAAAATCTATATATAAACCATAATAATACTGATTTTGAAGATATTTATGTTAATAAATAAATTTTAAATAGTTTATGATACAATATAAATTAACATATGTATGTATGAGTTTATCTTGAAATCTTTTGGCTCAACTTTATCAATCTCTTTTTGAACCTTTACAATTATAGTATGTAATCGTTAAACTTTCAACATTTACTATTAGTTTATTATGGTTTGTAATCGTTAAACAATATTTCTAACCATTTTTCCGTATAATTTGTATTATTGTTTATACATTTAGTGTTTTGGCAAAGTTTTATTTTCTATTTCTAATTACAAAATTTTAATATTTTAGGAAGCGGGTACCTGGAACCGGAACCGGTTCCCGGCGGTTCCGGTTCCAAAAATTCAAGAACCGCTTTAACCAGTTTCAATTCCGATTCCAACATCTCAAGAACCGCCGGTTCCTGTCAAATAGGGCGGGTTCCCGCCTTTGCTCACCCCTACCCGAAGGCACCCCTTTATGGGGCTGGGTTTCGATGATAAAAAATATTAAGATGAGAAGCGTTAGAAGGGGTCCCCACTCTTAGATGAACATTAGGATGCAATGCATCGTGATGCACCAGATAAATCCCTGTATCAAGTTTGATTCATAAGTGGATTTGAGATTAAAGTTGATAAACGGTTTAGGTCATCTCTTACTAAAGATGGAAATTATACCCGTTGGGACGGGTATTCGACCCTAACAGGGCAGAGATTCCTTGGTATTGACGGGTAGGGGGGTTTATTTTCATATATGAAGCGGGGTTGGCACAAGGTCGGAGATGGCATTACCAGCCCCTAATCCGACTCGATTATATTTTTTATTTTAGTTATTATGTATATAATTTGTGTATAAATAAATAAATATATATATATATATATATATAGATTTATCATTAAATGACAAATATATTTTGATATTCAATATTGACAATTTAATTTTAAAATATATTGTTTTTTTTATTAAATGGATACCCAATGGGTTCTCCAAACCTGTCGGGGATTCCTCCTCCCGAACTTGTCGGGATTAGTCGGGGACAAGGGATTTAAACGTGGATCGGGGTCGAGGACGAGGGTGCATTGTTTGCCCAATATCCGCTCCTTTTCCATCCTTACTTCTTACATTACTCACTTAATTATATGTCTCATACAATCCTTAATATATATATATATATATATATATATATATATATATACTGGGAAGAGTTCAAATAAGAACCCCTGTGATTTACGAGAACAACCCAATAACCTCATATTGTGATAAAAAATAAAATTAAAAAATTTTTAAAATTAAAATTGAAATTTAAAAAGATTCAAAAAATATTAAAATTAAAAGGGTAATAATGGAAATGATATCATAAAATCTTTTAGCACGATTACACGATCATGATTACCATTATCTAATAAACGGTTAATCATGTGATTATCATGTGATATGAGTGTGATAATCATGTCACATGATAATCATGTGATTATCACACAATTATCACATTATCGCTTATATCAACACGATTTGGTGTGATATAGGTGTGATAATCATATGATTATCACATAATTATCACATTATCGCTTATATCAACACGATTGGGTGTGATAATCATGTGATTATCACACAATTATCACAAGGATTCCGCTCGGCTAGGGTTAACTTAGAAAATCGACTACCGATTTGGTGTGATATGAGTGTGATAATTATGTGATATCACTATCATAACAGCGCACTCGATTTGATCATGGTTTCGATCGGTTAGGGTTAGACAATCACACATTTATCACAACGATTACTCATGGTTTCGATAAGTTAGGATTAGACAATCACACATTCATCACAACGATTACGGACGAAATCCACTAAACAATTTGGTGTGATATGAGTGTGATAATCATGTGATATCACTATTATAACATCACTTACGCACTCAATTTAATCATGGTTTTGATCGGTTAGGGTTAGACAATCACACATTTATCACAACGATTACTCATGGTTTCGATAGGTTATGGTTACACTTGATTGATCATGGTTTCGATAGGTTATGGTTACACAATCACACAATTATCACAAGGGGAGAGAAGAGAGTGGAAACGAACGTGCAGGAAAAAAATGGATAATTATGACTAATTAAAATAAAATAAAAATTATAAAAATTACTTAATTACATTACTGCCCTTATTAATTTATTTATATTTAATATAAGTTAATTTATTAATTAAAAAGTTTAAGGTTATTAGATTGTTTTCGCGTTCTCGTAAATCACATGGGTTCTCGTTTGAACCTCTACCTATATATACTACATTAATAAGCATTTACATCAAAGCCTTGAGTACAACTAATAAGACACAAAGTATTAGCATTTTATGTATGAATTAAAGAAATCTCTTAATTACAATATGTAAAGCGTGATGTATAAGGTGTTAATGCATGGTTTTAATCCTAAAAAACCAAGTTTGGTATGTTTACAATATTCTTTATCTCCTCCAGAATTTTCAGTCCTTTAGGAAACCCATTGATCAAAACTTAGATTTTTTTAAAATTCAAAATTTAAAGGCCTTATGTTCCCAGATTGATAATTCCTGCCCAAAAAATGATGATTTAGCTCCCAAAGTTTCCTCTTCTAGCTCTTGCGATTGAGTTTCGGTGGCAGACTCACTTTTAGTCTCCACGTTTCCTATCAAATCGTCGACTACCTTCTTCATCGCTCTCTCACTCACCCCATATGAACATTTTGAACGATATCTCAATGAAGTTTTTACAAATGATTTTATTTTCCAGTTTATTCAAACATAATTCTGAATGTCATTTTGTAAATTACTACGTTAGTATTTAAAATCTAGGAACAACAAATGTTACAACATTTAAAATATCGTAATCTAACAATTCCAGTTCACATAATATTCGTTCAAAATGACATATTCATATTCAAACTCAAAGGACAAACGTTTTCCATTTGGTTTGGTCTTTCTATGACAATCATGTGTTTATTTGTTGTAATCGTCAATCGATACTCTTGCTTACATTTATATAAAATTTATACAACGTCACATTGCAAGGGTACACAACAAGTATATATATATATATATGTTTGTTGATGTGTGATTAATAATTTTTTATTGAAGCAATATAAATAAAAGGTATGATATGAAAAATATATTTTCTTGAAATAAATAACTTATGGGCTTGTCAACAAATTATATTAAATTAAAGTAGCAAGTACCAAGTAGTATCATATAATAACATAAAATATTATTTCTTTTTTTTAATATTGCATAAATTCTTTTGTTTTAATAGGAGAGTAGATATGAGTAGAGAGGTGGGGTGGGTGCTCGGCCGTACTCGTTCGCTTCTCCGCCGAAGCATCCATGACCAACACGACTGATGCTCCTCCGTTATCCACGTGTTCATCTCTCATTGGCCTCTCTATCTGACTAGTACCTTCTTTTACTCTCTCTCTCTCTCACACACACACACTCTCTCTCTCTCCTTCTATGTGTGTTTTTTTT